AATCCATTATTATCTGTCTTTTGTGTTTCCTATGTACAGAAGCATCCCCTCTTGTACCTTACTTTCCTTCACTTTCTCAAATACCCCTCCATCTGGTCAGCATCACAGAGCTACTTTATTCTTTTCAGGGGTGAATTTTCGCATTATCACTTTGCTGGGCTTCCGTTGCCCCCCTGCCTCTCCATGTCTTTACTATATCTCTATATCAAATGCTGGATATTCTAAAAACAATATTCTCCAAAAATGTTTTCCTGATTCTCTCCACCTATCTCTCACCTGTTTTTTGTTTGTTTTTTTTTTAATCTTTAAATCCAGATGCATAGTTGCCCACTCCTCAAGCTGGACTCGTTTTTATTTGGCTCTAATAGTTACTCTGTTCTCACTTGTCCTGTAGCACTTAATTCACCAGGTCATAATTCTCCACTTATGTATCTGTCTGCACTGATGACAGTGAGACCTGTGTCTTGTTTGCTCATATAGCTCAGCACCCACGTGGTACCTGACACAAGGCAGGCATCCATCAAATCATTATCAAATACATGAATGAACATTATTGAATGAATAGTGTGATACAGGAGCATTCCTATGGTATTTACTGTATGTAACCAGAAGGTTACAGAGATGGTAACTGCTCCTTCTCCATTTCCTCCTTCCAATTTGTGACTCACATTGTATTGGAAGAAGGCCTTCTTTTAATATCTCCTACCTGGTTTCCCATATGTGAATTTCTATGGTAATGCTCTTAGCATTCTATGTACGCACTTATGAGTCCCACCTGCCAGAATGTGTCTCTTCATTAGACTATTTCTTCTTCGTATGTGCTTTCAGTGATGCGAGCTCTCTGGAAACAAGGGCCCCTGATCCCCTTCACTCCTTCATGTGCACTTGAAAAGAATGTGATTGTGCAACTATGGATACAGTGTTTTATGGATGTCAGTTAAAATTAATCATGTGCTCAGACCTAGACACTTACCTTTTTCTTTGTTCTGTTACTGTGAGAGTTTCTTTAAAATCTCCTATAAGATAGTGAACTTTCAGTTCTGTCAATTTATATATTATAAAGATTATAAATTTCTATATCTTCTTGTTGGATCAACTTATTATCAAATGTCCTTCCTTATTTCTAGGGACGCTTCTTATCTTAAAGTCTGCTTTGCCTGGTGTCAGTATGCTATACCAACTTTCTTTGGTTAATGTTTGCATGGTGTACTTTTTCCATCCTTCTACTTGGACCTTGCTGTATCTTTGTAGTATGTCTCTTAAAAGCATTACTTAAGCATTTTTTAAATGAGAAAACAGATTGACAATCTTTGATTTGTACCTAGAGTATTTAGCCTATTTACACTTACTGCAATTACTGGTATATTTAGGTTTAAATCTATAATCCTTTTCTTTTAAGACCCCAGGGCCATGGAGCTTGTGTAGGAGGCCACCCTTGTAGGTACAGGTTGTTGGTGTGGCTTATAACATTTGACAGTGTTGGGGTACAGGCAAGGAAAACACTTGGGACAGACCATCTCGTCCAAGTGTATTTCTGGGCAGGCTCAATAATGCTACCTGATCGGTGAAACACTAAGTTCAGGGTGGATTTTTCTGGATATTGTGGACTGGGTGTGGCTATTCTCCGGTGGTTTAGTCACAAAAATCAGATGCCACTGGCCCAGTGGGATGCCCTCCCTGTCTTGAATTTTGGCTTTGACATTCTCAACGATGTCACTGGGCTCAACCTCAAGGGTGTGGTGTTGCCTAGCAGGGTCTCACAAGGATCTACATCTCTACATCTGCTGATTGATTGCCTCACTGAAGAGAAAGAGCTAAATCTACAATGTTTTTGACCCACATGTTCTACATTCTGTTTTCTCTTTTCTTTGGAGGGAATAACAATTGTGAAAAGGAAAGCAAGGAAGGAAAATCTTCAGATTACAGACTAGTTTTCAGGCAAATAAATTCTAGCAAAGAGTATATAGGGAATTTGAGAATCTGGGCATTTATGCTATTCAAAAGGGTTAGGTATTCTAGCATCAGGTAAAGGCAAAGGAAAAGAGAGATACAGAGGGAGCCTATGTTAATTTGTTTCTGGAAGGGACCAACGAAATCATTTGCTGCGAATACAGGAGATAGGAAGCCAGAGAGATTATGTGACTTCCCCCAAGGCCCTCAGCATGTTAATGGCAGAGATCGCACTAGACATCTCCTGACTGCCAAGTCTAGGACACTTTTTCAACAATCACACGTTGTACTCGGGTTGAAAGTTGTATCCGACTCTTGCCCTCCTCCCTCACCCTGCTCCTATTAACGGCTGTCTGTGATCCTTGTTCTTAGAGTTCTTTGAAGAGTATGAACAGCACGGCCCTGGACTTATAGGTTGGGTTCTGCCCTTACCGTTGATAGAGAGGCCAGACAAAGGAATATTAATAGCCCTCTAGGGCTTTCCAGGAGCCCACAACAGGATGGTAAGACTTTCAAAGAAAGCAGCTCCACTAACGAACTAGCACAAATGATTGTGAACTTTCTTGAACTCACCTGAGAGCCATACGATCTTAGAGGGTCAGGATGTCAATGCCATTAAACAGATTGAGAACACCAAATAAATCAGAGGTAGGACTGAGTCCAGACTCACAGCAAAGCTCCCCATGTGCTACGCTGTTAGTGCTCTCTAGCTCACCCATTTTACTTTTAAGTGAGAGGAACGTTTTGAACATTCTGCAACACAGCTAGAGAAACACAGGACAAAACAATGGTGAGCTAGGAGAGCTGGAGTACAATATGAGAGAAACCACACTTACCTTTCCTCCAGCTGTACCTGATGTACACACTACCTCAGCGTCTCACTTTTATGGCTACATGTTATATGGCAGCGCTTCTCAGACTGTAAGACTCAACTGAAATTCATCTCGCAATTCCTAGTGCTTGCACTAAGGTAGACAGTGTGTCTAGACAGTTTTCTAGAAGGTGGGACTTGAAAGAGATCAGAATGTCCCTGGCCCAAAAAGATGCCCTTGTACTATCCTGTTTCTTGCATATAAAATACTCAAGATAGTTACTCCTATTAAAATTAATTCATTTACTCTTCAGTGTTTATTTGGGGGCATATTTTGCACAGGAAAGAGAATTTAGGTGTAATATGAGAATCAACATTGGTTTGATTAGTGTTCTTAAGCAGAGGGGGAATAAGGCACAAATGCAGTATTCTATAATTAAAATTATCGTTTTGTGGAGTGCTTATAATGCCCTTGATTTTTTTACATATATTTTGTTTAATGCTTAGAACTGCCTTGCAAAGTAGGCATTTGCATACTACTTTTACAAATTAAGAAACTGAAATTAAGAAACTTTCCCAATTTCCCACACCTGTGAAGTAGCAGAAAGGATTTAAACCTCAATCAGCATGGCCCTTCCACTAATTACACACTTCTTCCCTACAAATGGTCCATAAAAATAAGCAATGAGTTATCTGAGTGGTAGAACAAAATGCCAGAAATGCAGAGATGAAGAAGGTAGTCACTTCCAGTGGTGATGACTGGGGAAGGTGTCATGGTAGAAAGCATTTGGGAGATGGTAGTGGGAGTTGGGTACAGGAGGAATATATCCTATATTCTAGACAGAGGGGATGGTTTCAGCAAAAACATGAAGATGAGACTGGTTTGGGTCATATAGAATGGTATTATTTAATATGCAAGATTTATACTGAGGACATAACAGGAGGCAAAGCTAGAAAGTTAAGTTGAGGCTGGATTGCGGAGAGTCTTGATGACTGATGAAGGAGAAAGGACTGTCTCTATGTGGCAATGGGGAGTCATTAAAGTCCCTACCACCACCACCACCACTACCAGGGACTTGGGGTTATATCGACTAGATTTAAAAGGAAATGAGGACATAGGAGACTCTTAATCTCAGGAAACAGCCTGAAGGTTGCTGGAGTGGTGGGGGGTGGGAGGGATGGGGGGGCTGGGTGATGGACGTTGGGGAGGGTATGTGCTATGGTGAGCGCTGTGAATTGTGCAAGACTGATGAATCACAGACCTGTACCCCTGAAACAAATAATACATTATATGTTAAAAAAAGAAAAAAAAAAAGGAAATGAGGAAATGTGAGGCCACAGTACACTGTCACAGATGATAAGCCCTGAGAGCAGTGGTGGTGGAAAGTGGAATGGAGGGTCCTGAGAAGAGGAGGCACTCTGGCACCAAAGGGCAAGAGCACTATACCTCAGTGAACAATGGGTTGTGGAGAGTAGAGGAAAGGGATGAGTCAAAAAGATCATTGTGGTGAGAGCCTCAGTGACCAGGAGAAATTTGGAACCACTTACAGAAATGTGAATGATGGGAAGACTGCTGGCCTAGGGGAAATAACCACCTGGCAAGTGTCATCTGTTAGATTCAGGGTCTGGTGGCCAGGTATGCTCTGCTGGGGGCAGCCAAGACTGTGGAAGGGAGTCTGAGCAGAGGGGAACCAAGCTAGGGCCACTTCAGTGATAGAAGTCTCGGACAAAGTGGAAGAACAGGAACAGGCAAATAAATAGGAGGAAAGTAGGTAATGCATTTGGGGGCAAACAGAGTAGGTTACACCCCTCTATACCTTTGCTTAAGGAGGGACCTTTCTTCTTACAATGAAAGAATGCAAATGATGACGGCAAACAATGAATGAATACAAATTTAGTCAATGCTTCTGCCTGTCAAAGAAAGTGTGAAATAGTCAGTTAGTTGCTTCACTATCCGAACAGCGTATAGCCCACTACATAAACCATTTTGAATTATGTAAGCTACTCAGTAATGGAGCTTAAAGGTGTGGTTCCTGGGCTCAGGTCCAATTTTGACAGTATGGTTTCCCAGCCAATAATGGGTTCTTAAATGGGGTTGAGCTTTGTAAGCACTACCAAGATCAACATTTACTTTAGAGGCAATCGCAGTAAAGAGGAATCTGATAATCCTAAGAGAGGGGAAGGAGAGTCTAAAAGGCAAGGTGTGATGGTATGAGGTAGTCTGTACCCCTGACGCAAGATGACCAACCTCACCGTCCTCACTGGGAAGAACTACCATAACTCTGTGCCTGTGAGCCAGTCTTTCCCTCTTGTTTTGTTTTGTTTTGTTTTCCCCCCTTTAAAACTTTCAAACAAAATGCCCGAGATGATCACTTTTGGCAAAAGGACAGGGACATAGTCCCTTACCCAGTGATAGGGGACAACCCTGCAGTCTCCCTCCCTTCACAAGCCTCAAGGCTATGGCACCGTAATGGTCTTGTGAGTGGGAGCAAAGGGGAGTGGGCTTCTAGGAGAAACCCTGAAGTTTATCAGCCCCTCAGGAGATTGGGAGTCTAAAGAGAGGATTAAAAAGACTCAAAGAGTAAAACAGGAAAAGTTTCTTACTACAAGTGAAGCACGAGTTTACAAAGGCTGCTCTTCCTCTAGTTCATTATTCTCTCTGCTGCTTTAAGATCTGCTTCTTGTGCTTACAGCTGGCATAGGTATGCATTTTTGGGATGGGTCACCATATTGTTTGTTTTTGTCTTCATTATTTGGAAATTAGGCATGGCCATTTGTCCTTCTACTTCAAACACAGAATATTAATTTTTTTAGACAGATTGAAATTCCCTAACCAAATTTACAGGATTGGGATCATGGACCTAAAAATCCCAAAGCTGAAACCAACTGACAGTGGTCTTAAAAATGAACGTTAACAATAAAAAATAATATGGAGAAGCCATGCACACGGTGTCCTTGGCTCTGTTAAAGCATTTTCAAATCTTCATCTTACTGGATCTTTGAAACAACTCTTCTCTGAAAGGTGGACAGGAAAAGCATTAATCCCCCATCTCACAGACGAATTAGCTAAGACAGAGATGAGTTATATGACTTGTCCTAGGAAATATTGAGAGTTCACAGCAGAATCCAACCCAGAAGCCAGGACTCTTGACTGCTAGTGGGTCGTTCATTTCCCCCGGGTGAAATTATTACTCAGGGAGAAAGCTTTAAGTGCTAAATAGACTTCTACCATTATCTTTTCTGTGTTTTAGTTTCCAAATGAATAAAATGGAAGTAATAATAGGATTTACATCATAGGGTTTTGGTGAGTATTAATGAGTGAATTTAAGTAAATTACTGAGAACAGTGCTTGGTGTATGACAAGTGCTGGGTAAGCCATTAGTAATTGCTATTATTAGCATGTAGAAGATTTCATTTCAGGCTTAAGGTACTGATTTCTAAGGTTCTTTAATTCTTTCTTGGAGGGACAGAGCTACCTCTAAGAGATATCTTCCCGAACTGTCTGCTAATTACGGATTTGCTGCAATACACAAGGTTCTCACGCAGATCCTCCCCCTCCCTTTGAGACTTAACCAGTAAAGCTACCTGGGACTCTGTGGTGTCTGAAGCTACCTATGACTCTCTGGGGAGTTTTTTACGCAATAGTTTCTCACCCTTCGGATAATAGGTTCTGCCTACCAGCTGACACTACTTCACCAACTGGGCCCATTACCGGCCAGGCCTGGGGCATTTCAAGACTGTGGGTATCGACCCCTGCCTCTGTACTCACCTGATCTAAGCCTTTGCTGAGGTGTGGGATGAGATCTCACTATCTGTGAATACGGCGTGTAACTCCACCAAACTTCCAATGACCTGAAAACTAGTAAATAATAAAAGACCAAGGATCAAAATCTTTTAACCTTCAAGAGCAGTTTGAGCAAAACTTTCCAGAGCAGCCTCTAGGCTGCAATTCCAAATAGGTCAACAAGCAGCACACAGTTAAGTTCCAAGCTTTCTTATTATTTCTAGCGCAGTGGTGACTCTAACATTAAGAGGAATGGCTGGCTCACAAGAGGTGGTTCACAATTAAAGCCCAGCTCAGTTGTCAAGGAAATTTAGTGAAGTCCAAGTATTGTGGACTCGGAGGAAAACAATCTTCCACTTGGAAGCCACCTAAAGCTGGCACAGACGAAGCAGTCAGTGTCCTTAGTCAGGGGCTTCACTCCAAGGGGAGTAATTAGAACTGAAGAGACATTGAAACACACCAGCCGCAGGCCACCTACTCCAACCACTTTCCCAATTTAGGAATAATGTTGAGAATGAAGAAAGCCGGTATGAGAGGCTGCATCAGACTTCTCCTGGCTTCTCAATCCTGGTAACAGCTAATGTTGAAATGAATGATCTTTCCGTTTGTTCTGACCAACAAATCTTTGCTTTTTTCCCCCTCAGAAACAGTCAACTGAAAACTCTTCTGGCTTTTGGTGGCTAGAACTTTAGAACTGTGTTTTGAGATGACTTCCTACGCTGACTTTACTACAAGGTGTTGGGACCACCAAGGAGTTCCCTCACCTTGCCTCCTTTGGGTTTCCCTCAGCTTCACTGCCATGGTTGCCACTTCTGAGAACTGCCAGACCTCCACGGCCTCAGTCATCAAATTCCTGCTTCAGTTTGAGTTTAACGGGCTGGACTTTGACTAGGAGTACTCTGGCTCTCAGGGGAGCCCTCCTCAGGACAAGCATGTCTCCATGATCCTGGTGCAGCTGAGCCATGTTCCGTATCATTTTGACTGGAAAGCCTATGACCAGTCTCCTGTGAAAAATCCCTGAGGCTGTACAGAAAACCTAGCTCCTTACAATCTCAGTTGGAGATGAAGGACCCTATTCCAGTGAGGATGCTGAAGAATGAAAAATGGGAAAGACTAATTTAATTCAAAGAGTTGTCATGGAAATCAACTCAGAGTTGATATTCATAGACTTTCTCCTACTTGTGTATAGGAAACATGTGAAGCTTATGATCAGGAGTCCAAGCAGATCAACAAGCCCAGGCTGATGGTTTCTGCCATGGTAATTGCTGGCATCTCCAACATCCAGTCTGGCTATGAGATTCCCCCAGCTGTCGCAGTGAGTGATGACCTGTCCCCATCTCCTCTGTGTGTCACTTGTTCAAGAGACACTCATCTTTAGTGTGCCTGCTGTTCAGAGACCTTGTTTAGAAGGCTTTCTTGAACTGAACCCAAACAAATAAAGTTTATTATCCAAAATAAAGTTAAAATGTGAACTTAAATAACTTTTAAAAACTGGAGGTTGTATTAATAGGGTTCTTAATTTTTTAAAAGATTTTATTTATTTTGACAGGGAGAGAGGGAACACAAGCAGGGGGAGTGGGAGAGGGAGAAGCAGGCTTCCCGCCGAGCAGGGAGCCCGATGCGGGGCTCGAACCCAGGACCCTGGGATCATGACCTGAGCTGAAGGCAGATGCTTAACGACTGAGCCACCCAGGTGCCTTGGGTTCTTAATTTTTTAAAAAGCATATAACATAAAATTTACCATCTTAATCATTTTTCAGTGTATAGTTCAGTAGGGTTAACCATAATCACATTATTGTGCAACAGATCTCTAGAACTTTCATCTTGAAAGACTGAAAGTCCATACCCATTGAACAGCAACTGCCCCTTTTCCCTCACCCCCAGCCCCAGGCAACCACCATTCTAATTTCTGTTTCAAAGAGTTTGACTACTGTAGGTACATCATTTAAGTGAAATCATGCAGTATTTGTCTTTTTGTGACTTATTTCACTTAGCGTAATGTCCTCAAGATCCATCCATGTTGTCACAAATGGCAGGATTTCCTTCTTTCTCATAGCTGAATAATTTTCTGTTGTGTGTGTGTGTGTGTATTTGTGTATATTGTGTACATTGTGTATATACATACCACATCTGCATCCATTCATCTGTTAATGGACACTTAGGTTGTTTCCATTATTTTTGCTATTGTGAATAATGCAGCAATAACACAGGAGTGCAGATATCTTTTCAATATTCTGTTTTCATTTCCTTTGGATACAGACCCAGAAGTGGGATTGCTGGTGGTTCTATTTTTAATTTCTGAGGAATCTCCTTACTGTTTTCCATAGTGGCTGAGCCAATCTACATTCCCACCAACAGTGCACAAGGATTTTCTTTTCTCCACATCCTCGACAACACTTGCTATCTTTTGTCTTCTTGATGATAGCCATTCTAACAGGTGTGAAGTGATATCTCCTTACAGTTTTGATTTGCATTTCCCTGATGATTAGTGATGTTGAGCATCTTTTCATGTACTTTTTGGCCCTTTAGATGCCTTCTTTGAACATTTTTGCCTATTTTTAAGTTGGATTGTTTGGGGGTTTTTGTTATTGAGTTATAGGAGTTCCTTACATGTTTTGGATATTAACCCCCAATTTATGGTTTGCAATTTTTTTTTCTCATTCCATAGGTTGCCTTTTCATTTTGGTGATTTTTTTTTTTTTTTGCTGCAAAGAATTTTACTTTTTTGTCTTGCCTAATGTCTCTGGCTAGGACTTCCAGTACTATGTTGAATAGAAGTGTCAAAAGGAGGAATCCATGTCTTATTCCTGATCTTACAGAGAAAGCTTTCAGCTTTTCATCACTGAGTATGATGTTAGCCATAGGTTTTTTTTTTTTAAGATTTTATTAATTTATTTGGGAGAGAGAGTGCGTGCAGGAGAGAGCAAGGAGTGAGGGGCAGAGGAGAAGCAGAGTGCCCACTGAGCAGGGAGCCAGATGTGGGACTCAATCCCAGGACCCTGGGATCATGAACTGAGCCCAAGGTAGATGCTTAACCGACTGAACCACCCAGGCGCAATAGCCATAGGCTTTTTATACGTGGCCAGAATTCTTAGTTTTTAGTAACAAATCATACTCTGGGTAATCTAAGCAATAATGGTACTTATTAAAGATATGTTTTGGTGCACAGAATCTCTGGAAGACTGAGAGAGCTGGAAACAGTGCCTGTCTACTGTGGGAGTGGCTCTAGTTGAGATAGCACAGTGTCCAGTTGTCTACAACCAATAACACTCAGGACTGGTTGCCAACAGCTTACCATTGCTGCCCAGGAAGAAGAAGTCACATCCACCATTGCACTTCTTAGAAGGTGGATTCTCTCACGTATGACCACCTCTCATGTTGCTAACTTTGAAATCCAAAACTCACACTGACTGGTAGATTCTAGGTCACAGGCCTGATCACTAGCTGTTAGTGAGACAGGAAATGTGAGTTTCTGACTTCTACTTGTAAAAGTGGGATTTGTAAGAAAGAAATTATCCAACAGTAGATATAGTGTGCAAAGATGTTGGATGACCACAAATGAGAAATACCAACTCCAGAAATAAAAGGATTGGAGTTAGTAGGCATATTACAGATAAACATCACACTCTCTGATTCTAGCAGAAGTCAAGAAAATTCTGTCTAGATAGTATAGCTCAACAGTGGGAGCAACTGGAAAGATGCAGGCCTGGCTAGACAGAGATCCCTCGGCACTTACAAAGTTTTTCATAAATAAACATAACATACCAGACTGGAATAAAATCAATAGGACAGAATCATAGATGAAGGCTACTTTTCTAATTTTGCAACCTAAACTGCATCTCTAATAATGAAGAATGTTCTGCCTCCGAAGAGCTTTATGTTAGGGGTTTTGAAGATAAGAAAAGGATTCATTGAAGTCTATGTCAATTTAATCATTATTACTTGTTTCCCTTTCTTACCAAATGATTACCATTTCTCTTTATTGAAGTTCTGCAGTTCACTATTTTAATTTATTTTTACCTTTATGTTTAGGTGTGGTTTTATTTTCTTTCCCTTCTGCTTGATACTGAATGCTCACTTTCAGTCTGAGGACTCACATTACTTTTTTCAACTCTCAGCCTTTATCTTCTTTAAAATCTTTTAGTTCAAAATAATACATGTACAAAAACTAGGAGTTGAAAATACTACACAATTATAAAATAAAAACAGCAGTTCCCTAGAAGTTAATTCCATCAACTATATTTCTTAGTTCTTATTAATATTATGTACCCATTAGCCATTATTTGTACAAGTGAAAGAAGAGATGGCCAGACAGAAATGTTTGTAAATCATAAGTAGAAATGTTCTTAGTATGCAGTAGCTCCCAGGCTACTGTACTAAAATATACTATTATAAAATAGTATATTTTATTTTATTTATATAGTATAAAATAGTATATTTTATTTTATTTGAGTTTAAAATAAGAATATCATAATTGCTGAATTTCATACACTTTTTTCAATGAAATTTATTACACTTACTGAGTACCTACTATATTCCAGGCACAATTCTATGCATTGGAATACATAAATGAAGGAAAGAGAGAAAGATCCCTGTTCGTATGGAGCTTACATTTTAGCCAGGAAGACAGATATTAAATAATAAACATAATAAATACATAAACCATATAGTATGCTGGATGCTGAAACATGTTATAAAAAGTGGAGAGGAGAGGAGCTGGAGGCTTCCAGGGGAGGGATCGCCATATGAAATGGCGTGGTCAGCCAGTTTCTTAGGCATGTGACCTATGTGTTTTCTTTAATGCTCTGTTGTTAATGTGTTGGATTTTAATCATTTTTGAACATGGGATCACCTGTTTCCATTTTATACTGGGCTCACAAATTACCTGAGCAAGTATATAAAGGAATGAAGATGTTAGTCTTGTGGCTATCTTGGGGACAGTGTTGTGGAAGGAAAGATTGGTACAAAGGCCCTAAGGAAAAATTCCTGACATATGAAATGAAGGAGACCAGTTTGGTTGGAGAAAAGACAAAGAGTTGTGGGGGCGGGGGGGGGCAGTTATAAGAGATGTGGTCATGAGAGAGCAGATTGTTCGAAGCAGCAGTTGGCAAACTTCTTCTGTAAAGGGCTAGTTAGTAAATATTTTAGGCTTTGTGGGCCATATGGTCTCACTGCAACCCCTCAGCCCTGCTGTTGTAGTAGTGGTGAAAGCAGCTCGAGACAATGCATAAATGAATATGCATGGCTGTATTCCAATAAAATGTTATTTATGGATGCTGAAATTTGAATTTTGTATAATTTTCATGTGTCACTAAATGTCCGTTTTGGTTTTTTTCAACCCATTTAAAAATGTAAAAATCATTCCTAGCTCCCAGGCTACTGCACAAAAATAAGCAAAGGTCACATTTCGCACTCAGACACTAGCTTGCAGACCCATGGTTTAAGGCTTTATAGAGCATTATGAAGACTTCTGCCTTTACTCTGAAGCAATGAGGAGCTTTGAAGGCTTTCAAGTGGACAAATCATTTGACTTCTATTTTTAAAATAATTTGGTTGCTCTGCTGAGAATGTAGTTTGAAGACTACAGCAGTGATCCAAGAGAGAGATGATGGCTCAGAATAGGGTAGCAGCAGTAGAGGGTGGTTAGAAGTGATTGAATTTAGGCTGTGTTTTAAGGTTGGGGGGGGTTTGTTTTTTGTTTGTTTGTTTGTTTAGCTAAACAGATTTATTTATGGGTTGTATGTAGAATATGGCTGGGGGAGGAAAGGATTCAAGGATAATCCCGGCATTTTGACCTGAGAAACTGCAAATACAGAGCTGCCATCAACTGGAATGAGAAAGGCTGAAGGTAGAGCGGCCTCTGGAGGAAGGTCATGAATTCAGATTTGGACATGTTGAATTAAGGTTTCTATTGGATTTCTAGTGGGAAATGTTGAGAAGGCAGTTGGACATGAAACTTTTGGAGGTTGGAATGTAGTTGGTACTCAAAGTCAATAGACTTGATGAGATCTTTAAGGGAATGAGTGTGGAAAGGAAAATGAATCCAAGGACTAAACCCTGGGCATTCCAATATCCAGAGGCTGCAGAGACGCGTAGCAATGAGTAAAGAAGACCAAAGAAGGAGGGATGCATGAGGGAGAACACCAAGAGAGTCAAGAGTCTGGAAAGAGGAGAAAGTGATCAACTGCGTCCAATACTGCCGATAGGTCAAATAAGGTGTGGTCTGTGAGCTGACCATTAGGTTCAACAACATGTGGGTCATGACCAAGAGCAGAGACAGAACTCCACTTGGTGGCAAAAGCCTGAGTGGAGAAG